GCATATGAAACTGGTGGGTTCAGTACCTCAAAAAAGGTTAAGAACCACTGTTTTAGAGAGACATACAAAAAATGTAAATAAATAATTCAATTCCCTGTTTAAACAAGAAAATAAATATTATATTGCCTTAACATGCAATAAACATTAAATCATTTGTAGCATTTTACAGCTAAAAAAAAATCTACTTCTACCATCAGCATGTGAAAAGCTCAGTCCTTTCTGCTTAATTTAACATTAATACACAGTAGGGCTGATCTGATTAATTTTTTTGACCAACTGATTAATAATTGGGCAGCAAAAGGTGCTTAGTATGAGATTTATTTTTTACAAAGGAGTTGTGGGAAGAACATATTTAAAGACAAAAAAGGTTGTTTTTTTATGCTAAATGTAAAATGTGTATATTTTAGAGCAGTTTTGACCTAATTAGTGTTGTGTTTTTCTTTTAATAATAATTGGCCTTTTTGAGTCTGTATACCCAGTTAATAATTAGACTATTGCTAAATTAGTTGCTGATTAATCACGATTGATCCGATTAATCATTTCGGTAAACTAAGCTTTAAAGCCATAGTTTAGTTCCACTTTCTTACTTTCTCTTTGGGATGAAGTAATTTAGCCATTTTTTTGTGAAAAAGTCGTGGTTAAAACTTTTTCCTTTTTGATATTCAACTTGGTTTTGTTTTTTTGTTTTTTGTTTTCATCTTTGCAGGCATCTGAGAACTTTATCTACTCCTGCGCCGGTTGCTGCGTTGCGACCTACGTCCTCGGCATCTGTGATCGCCACAACGACAACATCATGCTGCGTTCCACCGGTCACATGTTTCACATAGACTTTGGCAAGTTCCTGGGCCACGCCCAGATGTTTGGCAGCTTTAAAAGGTCATTATCAGATAAGTCACCGTAGATTGTTACTGTTGCCCGTCAGATAAAACGGGCTTTGGCTCGTTATCTGTGATTGAGGGATTTAGTTTTTTCTGTAAAGGGCGGAACAGGATGTTGACGACTGTCGTGGGTTTGGGTTTATTGCCGTGTTATCAGAGCGGATAAAAGGTCATGAATCAGCTGATTTCACTCAGACTGTTTGCGTTTTTGCTCCATATGGTGGTGAGGTCAAAGGTAGCCAAATGTCTCATCTGTGTTTTTCCAAGAACATCCATAAAATTTTTATGGAAATCCCAAATTATCACATAGAATATGAATTTGTTCGGTTTCAAACTAGTTTTCTAATTTTTTTTTTTTTTTAAGGAAAGATGACAATTTTTACAAATCTGGTTCACCTTTTGGTAACATTTTTATCATTCAACACACATTTAAAAACTAATAATATAGTTACTATTTTATTTCAAAGTATCATAACATCCTCTGATAATTATGCAGCTATGCACTCACAGCGGCTACATTTCTGGTTTTTAGGTTAGCAAGATAGAAGTGTAGCAGAAGCTGCTGTTGCATGATTAATAGATGTTTCAGGCATGACCTGCTTCTTAACGGCAACATCCACACACTTAGCACTTTCACGTGTCTTTTTTCTTATGTCCTCTTTTTATGGTTTAAAGAAAAAATCCTCGTCAGCATTTATGATTTAGTGTTTAGACAAAAAAAAAAACTTTCCACACTTTCTTTTATTTTTCAGAAATATAGCGAAAGAGAGGTACAAAGTATGGCACAGACATCAACTTAAAAAAAAAGTATATTCAACGCCCTGCAGCAAATCAAGTTGAAATTGTGGAAAATTCACAAACATGGAGGATGTACATATCCAACATTTTTATAAACCTGTTAGAAATGAATAAATCTAATCAAATGCACCAGGTATCGGCTACTTCCACTTATTTTAATGCCTCCCTTCCTTCTCTCATCAGGGACCGAGCCCCATTTGTTTTGACCTCTGACATGGCGTACGTCATCAACGGAGGGGAGCGTCCCACCAGCCGCTTCCAGCTGTTCGTAGACCTGTGCTGCCAAGCCTACAACCTCATCCGCAAGAACTCCGGACTTTTCCTCCATCTGCTGTCCTTGGTGAGGCGCCGCAAAAGCAGCTATGGCTAACATACTGGGACGTCTCATAGCTAAAGATATTAGCTCAGGCTAATAAAGTTGGGAAAGAACCATAATTGAACACTTAAACTTATTTAAAAATATTCACTCTGACAACGCAAGAATATACCCAGTAACGAATTGTTAAATAGTTTAAAAAATAAATAAAAAAATCCCTCTTGGTGTTAGCGCTAGAAACGCTAGGCTAACTTTAGGTTAGCACTGACTTGTCTGTGGCCAAACTCTTTCATTCTTTCAGTTTTTTTCACAAAAGTAGATGTTTTTTTCTCAAATGCAAAGGGGGCATCTATGATATATTTCAGGAGTAAATCCAAAAACTGTGGATTTAGTGAACTCTTCCATCCTCTAACAGGGGCATTGATGAACAAAATTAGCTGCTTGTGGCTATACTGTGGCTTAAATTCAAAACATATTTAAGATTTTGCCAAATGTCTCATCTAAAGTTCTGGATGTTGGGGAGTAGCAGCAAAGTTTTGTCCTTTTATTTCTTTTATTTATTTATTTATTTTTTGCTTACTTCTCTTGACCTCCTTTTCAAAGTGCCTGCTGTAATTCCTTCTGCACCTGCAGGAGTCAGAGTAACACATCCAACCCAGCAGCCATTGTGTTTTTTATTTTTTATTTATATATATATATCAGTGTTTAACTTCTGTCCTGGAAATGTCCATCAGTGGAATGTGTTGTACGTTTTGTAACCCTGCGTGCCACGCGTTTGGTGTCTTCGTCTCTTTACGTGAATTGTTTCCTGCAGATGATGTCATCGGGGCTGCCGGTGCTGACGGGCTCTCAGGACCTGAAGTACGTGTTTGACGCCCTGCAGCCTCACAACACCGATGCCGAGGCCACCATCTTCTTTACGAGGTAGTCATGGTAACCTGCTCTCGGGTGCAGAGTGAACCTTGAAATAAAATAACTACTTTAAAGCATAAAATGTTCATACTTTGAAGTAGTATTATGTAGAAAGTGTTGGGTCAAAAATAATTATTTCAGTCTGCTATAATGTCACTCGCCACCAGGTGGCACAACAGAGTTAAGAGAGAGACTGATAAGCCTGTCACAACAAGTTAATCAACCATTAATCAAAACATTGCTTGATAAGTTCAAATGAGCTATGAGTTAATATTTCTTGAATTACAATTTTCATAGATAATCCATTTTCTTTCTGATTTTGGTTGTGTGTGGTTCTTATTTCTGTTGTATTTATTGTTTTTGATAGTTTTATTTTGGATATTTAGAATATCTTCCAGTGTTAGGTTGGTCTTTTGAGAGGATGAACTCGCATTATTATGTCATTCTCAGTACATTAACTTGTGTTAATATATTAGTATTAATGAAAGTAAAACCTGGTGGCCCGCCAGGCTTATAACACACAGCCCCAGAGACTGAGTAGCATCGTTTCAACAGAAAACATTCAACACATATTGGTCTAAAACTAGATCTTTTGGCTGAAAACGTATTTCAGAAGTGCTAATTTTAATTATTTTAAGAGCTCTTGTTGTCAGTTTTCCCCTCAGTCTTAAATTTCTTTGGTTTCCTCCGCCTTCTCTCCTCCCCGCCACAGACTGATTGAGTCCAGCCTGGGAAGCATAGCCACCAAATTCAACTTCTTCATCCACAACCTCGCCCAGTTACGATTCTCTGGCCTTCCTGCCAACGACGAGCCCATCCTGTCCTTCTCGCCCAAGACGTACACCATGAAGCAGGACGGGCGCATCGTCCACGCCACCATCTTCTCCTTCCAGAAGAGATACAACCCGGACAAGCACTATGTGAGCCCCAAGCGACGCTGCTCCATGCCGTCTTTGCTCCGTGTCGTATGGTGACTGTTTTAAAGCCACTGTGTGTTTCCGTCCTGTCTCGGCAGACCTATGTGGTGAGGATCATGAGGGAAGGCCAGAACGAGGCTCAGTTTGTCTTCCGCACGTTCGACGAGTTTCAGGAACTCCACAACAAACTGACCATCGTGTTCCCGCTCTGGAAGCTGCCGGGGTAACATGTCACCTTCACTGGTCCCTTTGAGGCTCCGCACGTTCATTCAGTTTAGTTTCCAGAAAGAAAACGGTGATGTTGTGACTTTGTTTTAAGTCAGACGATCAATTGGATTAGATTATTAGTTCATATCAACCATCACACACTTGAAATAGACCAAAATCTTCATCTGAGTCCATAAACGCCATTTAACCAATGTTTCAGTAGCTGTTATCCATAGTCCTGGCTCAACACTTTTTTTTTCTAAACTTTTCTAAACTGTTATAAGAATTTTGATTCATCGTTGACTTGATGAATTTCAATTAATGATGTTGGGAGTATCCAATAGTATCGGATCTTTTTTAACCCATAGAAGGCTAGGTTAGTTCTGTTCAAAAAACTTTTAAGCTAGGCGCTACAAGGCAGAAAAGCAGCGAGAAAAGCACAAAGCTGCTCCCAAGAGCCACAAACAAACACTAAAAACGTTGTTGCTGTGCTTGATTGTAAAACAGCCAAATCTTCCATTTTAGGCTTAAATTTCATTCAAGGTGGCATTAAAAATGTCTTTAAAAGTCTTAAATTTTACTTGCTGAAACTTGTTTTGCTGTAACCCCTCAGTTGTATGTAACTCTATATTAGTGTATACCTTAAAGAGGCCTTCTTTCCGTTTATAAGATTATTAATTAAATCTAGCAGAATTAACCATCAGAATTTGATGATTTTTTTTTCTTTAATTCTGTAGTTTTCCAAACAAGATGGTTCTTGGTCGCACCCACATTAAGGAGGTGGCAGCCAAGAGGAAGATGGAGCTCAACAGTTACGTCCACAACCTGATGAGGAGCTCCACAGAAGTGGCCCAGGTGCTGACATGCACAGCCTCACTTTCAGTCCCCCTCATTATCAAGATTTAAACTTTCTGAATGACCCATTTCGTTTTTTGTTCATATGTAGTGTGACCTGATCTACACTTTCTTCCATCCATTTGCTCGGGATGAGAAAACAGAGGGCTTAGACACCACACCCAATCCACCTGGTAAAAACCTGCCACACCTTCCTCACATGTCTGGAATTCCACAGACGCTTTCGCCCAGTTTCACTTTCCATACGACGTTTTGTTCTTCATCATTAGTCTGTCTATTTTGAAAATCAATAATCTTCCAAGCGTTTTTTTTTTTTTTTTTTTTTTTTTTCCTGCTGCATCTGGTGTGTGAAAATCCCAAAGTTGAGTTGTCTGTGTAACAGCAGCAGTAATATTTCTGAGTTTGACGTGTGGTGTTTTACCGTCTCAGAGCCTCTGCTGAGTCCAACCACTGGTCGGGTGGAAGGAGAAGTGAAGCTTTCCATCTCGTACAGAAACAGCACTCTGTTCATCATGGTCATGCACATCCGAGACCTGGTAAATACAGACTTTGAAAAACATATGCTGAGAGCCCTTTTGTCCAGGTGTATATGTCTGGGTTTTTTTGTTGTTGTTTTTCTTATGTAGGTCATATCTTTTTTTTTTTTTTTTTTTTTTTTTTTTTTCGTACAATTTTCATTTTTTTTGATTTAAATTTTATTTCAAATTGTTTTAAAAGGTTTTTAA